ACAATGATCTTTCCCGGAATTTTGTGGACTTTCGGTATGATGTCTATTTGCATACGTATACATATTCACGCTTATATTCATTTACATCATTAGAAATGAATACGGTGACGACTTTTGAATATGTGGGGGCCGGGCCTGGGCTTCAGGGCTGGGAGGTAGTGTAAGACATCTGTCTAAATCGGATATTTAAAGTGGCTGGCCGGGCCACCCTCACGGGCCCTGGAACTAGTATGAAATACCAATTATGGCAATACGAGACAGACCCCTTCCCCGAAAAAAACAGGGCGTAACACAATTCAAGCCCTTGCTAGCAGGTGCGTTACGCTAGCTCCTGCCAAGCCAGGTCAGATTGCACAGGTCCAGCCTAAGGCATCATGTCGGTGCAGACCTATGCTTTCGTATCTCCATGCTACATAAGCGCCTGGAATGGCGGAGCTAAGTGCGCTGAATTGAGCTGCCCAAGCCCTGTCTACGTGGCTCGTGGAGAAAGAAAGCAAGAAGAACATGGATGCCCCTTGTCTCGGACTGGACTTTGAAACTCCTGGCGTCTTGGGATGGGAGCTGCTTCTACACAAATCTCAGAATGAGAATTGGAAGGAAAGAAAGAGAAGCAAGAGAGAGAGAGAGAGAGAGAGAGAGAGAGAGAGAGAGAGAGAGAGAGAGAGAGAGAGAGAGAGAGAGAGAGAGAGAGAGAGAATGCCTGGATCTGGCATTGGGCCGTGTGTCAGACCTGTTTCAGACCTGTTTCAGACCCCTGCAAAAGGACCATCTCATATTCGCAAAATCCTGCCCCAAATCCCCGGCACCAGTATAGCGGCGGCGGCTCGCGGGCCGTGGAAGTAGTATGAAACACCAATTGGGACATGGTGCAACACCGATGCCTACAATTGCAGACCAATGCTTTCGTAATTCCATGCTACATAAACGCCTGGAATTGCGGAGTCAAGTGCGCTGAATTGAGCTGCCTAAGCCCTGTCTACGTGGCTCGTGCAGACAGAAAGCAACAAGGACATGAATGCCCCTTGTCTCGGACGGGGCTCCCAAGATTTCCTTGAATTCTTGAAACTCCTGGCGTCTGGGAATGGGGCCTGTTTTTTTTAGCAAATCTCAGATTGAAAAGAATTGTAAGAAAAGAAAGAGAAGCAAGAGAGAGAGAGAGAGAGAGAATGCATGTGGCATTGGGCCCTGTGTCAGACCTGTTTCAGACCTGTTTCAGACCTGTTTCAGACCCCTGCAAAAGGACCATCTCATATTCGCAAAACCCCGCCCCGAATCCGTAGCACACGCGCTAGCTCCTGCCAAGCCACACAGGTCCAACCTCAGGCGCCGTGTCGGCGCAACACTGATGCCTTTAATTGCAGACCAACGCTTTCGTAATTCCATGTTACATAAACGCTTGGAATTGCGGAGCTAAGTGCGCTGAATTGAGCTGCCTAAGCCCTGTCTATGTGGCTCGTGGAGAAAGAAAGCAAGAAGGAGCTTATTTTTTAAACCCACAGAATGAAAGGAATTGGAAGAGAAGAAAGAGACGCAAGAGAGAGAGAGAGAGAGAGAGAGAAAGAAAAAAAATGCCTGGATCTGGCATTGGGCCCTGTGTCAGACCTGTTTCAGACCTGTTTCAGACCCCTGCAAAGGGACCATCTCATATTACTCATATTCGCAAAACCCTGCCCCGAATCCGTAGCACACGCGCTGCCACACAGGTCCAACCTAAGGCGGCCTGTCGGCGCAACACAAATGCTTCTAATTGCAGACCAATGCTTTCGTAGTTCCATGATACATGAACGCCTGGAATTGAGTGCTCTGAATTGAGCTCCCTAAGCCCTGTCTACGTGGCTCATGCAGACAGAAAGCAACAAGGACATGAATGCCCCTTGTCTCGGACGGGGCTCCCAAGATTTCCTTGAATTCTTGAAACTCCTGGCGTCTGGGGACGGGGCCTGTTTTTTTAGCAAATCTCAGAATGAAAAGAATTGTAAGAAAAGAAAGAGAAGCGAGAGAGAGAGAGAGAGAGAGAGAGAGGGAGAATGCATGTGGCATTGGGCCCTGTGTCAGACCTGTGTCAGACCTGTTTCAGACCCCTGCAAAAGGACCATCTCATATTCGCAAAACCTCGCCCCGAATCCGTAGCGCACGCGCTAGCTCCTGCCAAGCCACACAGGTCCAACCTAAGGCGCCGTGTCGGCGCAACACTGATGCCTCTATTTGCAGACCAACGGTTTCGTAATTCCATGTTACATAAACGCTTGGAATTGCGGAGCTAAGTGCGCTGAATTGAGCTGCCTAAGCCCTGTCTATGTGGCTCGTGGAGAAAGAAAGCAAGAAGGAACATATTTTTAAACCTTCAGAATGAAAGGAACTGGAAGAGAAGAAAGAGACGCAAGAGGGAGAGAGAGGGAGAGAGAGAGAGAGAGAGAGAGGGAGAGAGAGAGAGAGAGAGAGAGAGAGAGAGAGAGGGAGAGGGAGAGAGAGAATGCATGTGGCATTGGGCTTTGTGGCAGACCTGTTTCAGACCTGTTTCAGACCCCTGCAAAGGGACCATCTCATATTCGCAAAACCCTGCCCCGAATCCGTAGCACACGCGCTGGCCCTGCCAAGCCGCACAGGTCCAACCTAAGGCGCCATGTCGGCGCAACACTGATGCCTTTAATTGCAGACCAACGCTTTCGTAGTTCCATGCTACAAAAATGCCAGGAATTGCGGAGCTAAGTGCGCTGAATTGAGCTGCCTAAGCCTTGTCTACGTGGCTCGTGGAGAAAGAAAGCGAGAAAGACATGAAGGCCCCTTGTCTCGGACGGGGCACACACATTGCCTTAAATTCGTGAATCTCCTGGTTTCTTGGGATGGGCCTTTTTTCTCAACAAATCCAAGAACAACCGACTGGTTGCGGAAGAAGTAATTTGCAACAAACAGCAAGCAAATTGACAAGGCGGGCCGGGCCAGAGGCAGGCTTTCAAGACGTAACGCAAAATACCTATCTAAATCGGGTATTTAAGTTGGCGCACAGCGCCTGGACTGCAAAGTGGGAAAAACGCTTGATTCGTGAACGACCAGCTGTGCACATACGTCTACTCGTGTGTCTATAGATCCACCAGAGCCTGTTGCAAGAGCTGGGCGGCAAGCTGGCGCGAGGATGTGCCTGAAGCCGGCTCCGGCCCAGCCTTTGCCCCTGAGTTGTGTTTGCCCAAAAGATCTTTTGTTGCCTTTGTGTAAGGAATTTGTTGAATGGCGGATGTTTCTGTCCCGAGTCAGCTCCAATGGAGCCACGTGCCGTGAGCGAAGCGCTAAACTGGCCAACTTTTAAACCACCAAGAAAGGGGTCCCGCCCAAAAACTGTACATGTATTTGTGTATTTGGTACACACATCATGTGCTCCCAACATCTTCCCCAAATTAGGCCAAGCAGCGCCAACATAGCAGTAGTATGAAACTCCACAAAGGCCTTGTTCCCGGAAACACCATCTTCGCGGGAAAGCATACTTTCACGACCTTCATCGCGGGGCTAGTTTCGCAATATTCATCACGCAAGTAATACGCAAAAGTACAGCGCCGCAGCCCCGCCTCGAAAGTCGCAACTGGTCAGTACGAAAGTAGTACATGAAGTAAATTTGGGCAGCTCCAGCTCAAAAGCTGTAACTGTAACTGTTCAGTTCCAAAGTAGAACGCGAAGTGCACTTCCGCAGCCCCAGCTCGAAAGCCGCGCTTCAACGCAGGTCCATCGACATTGGCTTGCTTTCTGTTGGGGGGCTGACTTCGCAGCCGCGTATCTTTTTTGCAGCAATCCTCAGGCCCCACTTTCCTCTGACCAACTTTGGTCTGTGTGCATTCTGCCGCACTGCTGACAAATACACACTGTTCATCATTCCTTTCCGCCAACCACCCTTACACAGAACTTTCCCGAGAAAGAAATAACTTCTGCGACCTTGCGCGGCTTGCATGGAGGACAACACTAAGACCAGAAACGTCTTCTCTGGCCCCCTCCTGGGGTATCTCAGCATGCCTCAACACGCGACATTTCACAAAGTGCTGGAGGGGATGACGACTGCACCAAATCACATGGCTGAGAAGTGCGAATTCAGAGGAGCCGCTAACAGCGGCGAAACCTTGTGTTTTTGTTGTTTTGCTGTTTGGTGTTTTGGCGTTTAGCCTCCCCAACCAAAAAAGAAGAAAGCAAAGAACACAGGTCTCGAACGGGCAGATGAAGATGATAGGCTTGGTTTGTTTGGGTGTGTTTTTTGGGCTTTAGTTTTCCCAGCCAAAAAAAAGAACAGAAAAACACCAACCCTGGGTCTTGAACGAATAGATGAAGATGGTGGGTTTTGTTTTGTTTTTGTGCTTTTTGGTTTTGGGTTTGTTGCTGATGAACAATGCAGCCCCCAAGGATCTGAAAAACGCAACCCCGATGGCGTCCCCTTCTGGATAAATGTGTGTGTATAAATAAATACATATACATACACATATATATATATATGTATAAACTAAATGTGCTGTGCCCGGGTTGGACGGGAGACCAAAAGGACAACCAACTGACACGTTTAGGGCTCGGAATTTTGAGGCACTTGTTTTGGGCTGGTTTTAGAATGGGACCAACAGGAACACATTTGTTGGGGAGATCCCGTATTTTGAAGTTTGACTAATAGAACCGTTCGGCTTGCAAAAATGCCATTATGAAAACATCACCGGACCCCCTTCGGATGTTTGACATGCGCGAAGCTATGTTCGTGCAGAACGATGCCCAAAGCACGTCATGGGGAAGTGATCCCCAACGAGCTGCCCAGAAACCCCGTGCGAGGAAAATTTCTTGAAACTGGCAGGTCGTTGCATGCTCCTTAAGACTTAGAGGAAATTTGGTTAGATCTTGGGACTTGAGCGTTTTGGAAAACAGTAAATTTTCCCATCGGACCCACAAACAGTTAAACTTTTGCAGAGGGGTCGACAGCAACCGAGAAGACGTCGTGTAGCCTCCTACGCGTCAAGGTTGTGTGTTACGTGTTTTGTCAGGACTGGCAGCGCCAGATGGGAAGGAGTCAAAGTGCCAGCGCGTCCTCTTTGGATTCGCAGAAGCCGGATCTTGGTCAGCCACCGTCTTTGCGTGCACGCCTGGCTGTTCCAAAAGGGGTGCCGATGTTCAATCTGACGCCACAAGCCTCAGGCGGGGTGATGGAGTTGCCGCGCGCAAAGCCAACGCCAATGCTGGTGGACAAAACACATTTGCGAAGCATCCTGATTAGGTTGAGGAGCTGCAACAGGTTAAGAGGGCCCAAACTTGTTACGACTTTGCTGAATTTGCAATGCGCAGAAGGAATGATAGAAACGCGTCAATACGTGTCAGCCATCTTGGGGCAAGGAGCTATTAAATTTGGGAACACAACTTTAGCGCAAACAGAACCGTCAGGGCTTTTGTCGTACAGCCAGGGATGCCGCAGACATCATGAGCAACCGTGGGTTATGGTTTTTATCTGCAACCGTGGGATACCCTGATGTTCTTGTGCTTTCTAACTCGCCCGAGTTCCTGGGCTTCACGCTTGGAAGATGCCAATCCGGAGTGAGCTCGCCGCACAGGCATCGTCACGCCGGTGACCAGAGACGACTTCTCAAGAGAGACCTCCGGCGGCAGCACTGGCGATGAGCAGCCAGGCGCGCATGCATAGATATGTCTACTATAGGCATGTGTCAAAAAACAGAAAGACCCCGAAAATGGGTGGGTTCCTTTTGGTTTCTCTTTGAACCAACACGAAAAGGGTACCCTCCAGAGACACATGGCTGGACGCCTAGATCTCGGGATGCCACTGGCTTCGTTTTTTGCAAGGTGTCATGTCACTGGGGTGGGAAGTGGATGAAGTGGCACACGGGCGTAGGCCAGAAGGGCCGCTCGAAGCCCCCGAAGCGCGAGAAGGACAAGGTGGAGGAGGCTGCCCGGAAGCTACGCTCGTGGACGGAGGACGCGAACGCCGCGCCTTCGCCCGCGAGGGATCCCAACAGCTTTGCTTCGCAGGCGCGGCCAACGGTTTGGCGGATGTGGCGATACACTCCCTTATGCGAACATGGATTCTCCCAGTCTGTGAATGGAGTCAAGTCTTCCAAAGCAGTTCTGGGAGCTTCCACTGTAACCCTTGTTGCAGGGATAAACATGCTTTTGAGCAGTTTCCAGTGGGCAGGTACCCAAAAGCCTCTGAAACGCCAGCTTCAACAAACCTGGAGCAGAAAAAACATCGAAGAGCAACTCTTGTTGACCGGTTTGTGTTCTAAACAAGTAGAAACAGAAAAGTGATTTAGTCTTAAAACAAACCTAGGTCCCCAGTAGTGCCCTTTCTCACCCCTTTTTTGGTTGGGAGGGTTCCCCTAAACAGACTACAGAAAAAAAGCACGGGTACCAACTTACTGAAAAGCCTCTCAAATCTGGAGGACCTAGAAACAATCAACCTTAAGGGCCGCCCCGAGGTCCTCATGGGCTTGGGCTTGCAAGCTGCGAAGTCCACCTTGGTTGCAGAGAAGCGCGTGCCTCGGCGAATCCAGGGACTCAGGGGTAGCCGGAGGCGGATCGATCCGGTAAAACGGGCGAAAGCCATGGCAAAGATGTTGGGGATGTGGGGTTCGTAAGGAAAAACACAGGGAATTTGGACCATATTGTAACATACATGCATACTATTTCTGCGAGTGGTTTTTGCGAGCAAGCAGTGCTTGACCTGTGAGATGTGGCCAGGTAGATGTGCTGAAGACCCGGTTTGAGAAGCTTGGCCTGCAAGGGGCAGAGGACAGAGTCCAGTGGAAACAGACAGGCCCCCCAGCATGCGTGCTTGTTGCTATGGAAAAACATCCATGTACACACAGCTAGGATGCAGAGAGAAAGAGAGAGAGAGAGATATGGACACAGCCACACACACAGAGAGTCCTGGATAGATTCGCCATGATTCGACTGCCTTTCAGATACAACGCTGGCATCCGAGTCGCAAAGCCCAATGACGAGCCAGCCCATTGCTGGGGCTCAGGTAAACCATATTTTTCCATCGCAGGGTTCCATCTCGCGATGCGGATGGATCACAACATCAAGAAAACGGAAAAGGTCCGAGGAAACTACTGCGACAAACCCACCAAAACTGCTATCCTTGCGTTGCCGGGGGGGGGGGGGGTGGCGGGTCCCTCTGGCACAAAGGGGGGATTTCGACTGGAGATATCCATTTCTGGCAACCCATTGCTGCCTTTGAAGACTGGATACGTGGAATTGGTTCCCGGACCCCCACCCATGGAAGGACAATTCGTCGTGTTTAAAGCCCCCTTACCATTGCGGGGCCGGGGGGGGGGGTTCGCAATGGATGGCTTTGGCACATACATACGCCCATAGACATATACATATATATATATATATATATTTATGTATATTTTTATTGTGTGTATTACATACATGTGCAATTCCGCACACGTCTTACTTGCATCTTCTCATGCCGGCTCGAAGTTGGCGGACTGAAGCCAGGTTGGCTTATCCCCCCCGCTCTCTTCTTGGGCGGATCCGAGGAAGTCCAAGGGCTCCAATCACAGCAGCTCCTTGCCGACCTTGGCTTTGCCCCCCATGGACTCTGACGCCCGGCGTTGCTTGGCCTCCAGCGACTAGGGTGGTCCGCCGTAAAGGCGAAGCCTTGGCCCGAAAAGGGCGGCAAACGGGGGCAGAGCTCGGGCTTTCGAGGTTCTGAAGCCGTTTGAGTTTCCTTTAGAACCTACATGGGGTTTGCAGTTTGCGGTTTGTCCGGTGCCACTTCGGACAATGAGATGCTGGTTTCAACTCGGAGCACATGCTGGTCATTCAAACTGAGGCATAGACTAGGTACCAGGCTGCAAGCCCCAACCAAATCAAGCTTTTTTTTTCAAGAAGCGTGGTGACTGATTTGACACCACCATTCTGTCTCACAAACTGTTTCCTTTTTCAGGCTCCTGAGAGAGCTCGGCCCTTGTGTCAATTCAAGCTCGGGTGATGTCCACTGGCAGACCACTGGTTTCAGCCGCGTGCTTCTGCTTAGCTTGCCGTTTCTGATCCATCACCCGAGCTTCTTGAGTCCATTCTTGCGCATGCTGGCATGAAAAAGAGTCTCCTCACTGGAATCAAGAATCGCAGCTTGCCCCCCAAAAATGGGGCAAGCCCTGGCAAATGCAAGGACTGAACCCTGCGGTCAAAACCGGCCGCCCGTCACCTGGTAGCCGTTCGGCCTGCCGTTCACTCGACAGGCCGGGCCCTCGAGCCAAAGGCCTACTATACAAGGCGGAGCCAGACGTCGCCGGATGATCGTGATCGTCGTCCTTATTTTGTCCTTCTCATTCCTCATTTGTTTTTGTGTTTTCATCCTCATCTTTATCTTCATCTTCATCTTCACATCATCATCCTCGTCCTTCACCTAACTCCTCACCCTCATCCTCACCCTCACTCTCATCACCCAGACCCTCACCCTCATGCTCGTCCTCATCCTCACCTTCACACTCACCCTCATCCTTACCACCCTCACTCTCACCCCGACGCCTTCAGCAACCCAACAATTGGAGCTGCAAATAGTGCAGGTACTCTATGTCCAAGATGGGCCTCGTTTCGCAGACGTGCCCTGGCCAGCTTTATTTGCTAATGTTATGGCGAGCTCACCTGGGGCAACGAGCTCACCGTGATCTAGGTGAGGATCCCTTCAAGGGCCCTTGCAGTTTGAGGCGCTGCGGCTCAGGTTTGAGAACTCGCTCTTCCGCCAAACCTTTGGTTACAGCCACGTCTACACCACAGAGGCCATGACTTGCGAGGCTTTTTTTGTTTTTGCCAAAAGCGGAAAGCACTTGCAGGAAGCATGCGAGAGGGTCTGCGGGCAACAGAAGAGGGACTACCGGAAGAAGCCGGAGCTCAGGCCTAAGCTCATGCCCAAAGGCTTAGTGCCGCTAGACAGGTGGCTAGTCTTACCAACACTTCAACTCAATTCCTGCGAATTGTCGGAAACATTTGTGTTCTTCTCAGTCTTGGGCAGACATGCGATCATGCAACTGCTTGCACGTCGCCGCAAAGGAAACCAGAACAGACTGGAATAGTTAGCGTCAAACATTGTGGGACACTCAAGCCGGCGGGCGCTTCCAGTGATTGGCACAAAACATCAGGCTGTTTGATGAGGCATCTAGATGTGCGTGTTACTTGAGAAAGCGGTCGGGCCTATCTGTTCTGCCCAAAGCTTTGGGCCACGCGGCCTCCTTTCTTGCTGAGGCAGTCATGCTCTCACAAGCGACCTGGGACGCCTGAGCCCCAGAGCATGGGAGCATGGACCATGGTTCACAACATGGCGAGCGCACGAATTGAAGAAAGGGGCGCATGGACACCATAGCAATCCACTGCCAAAAGATGACATGTCTTTTCAGCCGTTCGCAACAAAGGCTTATGTCAGACATGGACGCATGTTTTGGGGTGAGGAAAGCTCAGCGCTTTTTCCGGTCGACTCACGAGTCTCCGCCCTCGACCGAACCGCGCCGAACGCGAGAGATGTCGAGGATGGCGCTGGTGGCAGGGCCCGTGCTGATTTCTCTTTGCACCGTGGCTGGGGCACCTGAGCGCAGGCGGCTTCTGTGTGACACTGCAAACTAAGTCGAAGTTGTTGGGTTTTCAGAATGCCGGCTGAGGCGCTGGTGATACTCTGCGGCGGCTTGAGCTTGTCATCAGCGCCCCGGCCGAGAACGGATGCTCGGGATGCCATAAATGATTGGCCAACGAGCACAGACCCAAATATTGCCAGGGAACAAGGGGAAAGCTGTAAATTCTCATGGTTTGTCGTTTGCTTGCACAATTTAGGGTTGAGACTTTGTGCTTTGCCCTTGCCATCTGCCATTTCCGCTTGACAGGTCGCATGTTCGGCATCCTCCGGTTTGTGCAGCTGCCTGTCTGCACAGGGACCGAGGCCAATGTGACATCCAGGAATCCAGTTGTGAGCAATGTCTAGATTATGATTGAGTGGAGGTCAACATACTGTGGGCTCTCTTGCCCAAAGCCGAGAATTTGTCTAACGTTGGTCCATTTTTTGTCGTGGCCCCAAGAGATCAACCTTTTATTTCTGGGTCCTTTGGGCAACTGAGTGGGGCTGTGGTTATTGGAAGAAAGTTAGACAGAAGGAATGCAACATGCGCTCTGGACTTGGCTTGCTGAGGTCTGTGCCAAGTCGGCTTTTTTGCATCCACGCCTGCCACTCACGTTTGCGCCGCCGTTACGCGACAGAGCTGCATGTTAGATATGCGTGTGGCGCCTCTCAGTTGTGCTATTGATCTTGCAGCTGACCGGCTTTGCGTCGGTGGTTTGCCCTCAGGCAACCTGCCTACCGCCTGTGGATGCCGTTCCACGGCGGCCGCCTCCACGTATTGTTCCAGGGCGTAGGCGCGCCGAACAGGGCGTAGGAGCAAGTCGTGATCCAAAGTGTGGGCCATGTCGTCGGGATCCAAGGCCCGGGCTCGGCCAGTTTCATTGTGAGAATGCCGTCCCGGGCAGGCTGGTCGCTCTTTGCATTGATGTGTTTTCACTGGCGCGCGGCCCAGACATGATGCCAAAGTGGCAATTTGGGCGTCAAGTATGGATACCTGTGCCAATGAATAAAAACACCAAGGAGTTGTGATTGTATGTTCGGTTTCCTTTAAACCAACCTAAGCCAGTGAACCCTCAAAACAACACAAACAAACACACACACAAAAAAACACATACAAACTGGGACGAGCGAGACCGTCGAGAATGCTGAGAGAGAGAGAGAGAGACACAGACTGGCAGAAAGATGAAACCCCGCCCAGTCTGAGGATTGCAGACTGGATGAATCTGGATATCCCTGCGCTGCAGCTCGGCTACAGCATCCTTGCGTATTAGGTTGATGCTCATAGGGTTGCTTGGTGGTACTGCTTTGAATGCGCCACATACTATCGATGCGCTCTTCATGTCAGAGCAAAATCTAAACACTTTTTAGGTACTTTGTTGCCTCAATGTGAGCAGCTGCTTCTTTGGCATGTTCAAAATCTGGCAGATGGTAAGCCGATGTTTCCAGGGATTGGAGGTCAAAGAAGTGGAGCTGTGGCAGCCGTTAGCGCATCAACTAAATGCACATGTCGATTGCTTACTGACGTCTTGCTGGGCCTGTTGCTGGTTGTCAGTCCGTTGGGGGATTGGTGGACCTCGGCATCAGTGCCGACTTGACAGAGTTCAGTTTTCTAAGGGGCTGCTCAGTGTGTGCTAAAAGCCTTGTTTGGATTAATAATACCTGTTTCTAAAAGAGAGGCAAACCGATCGCAACGCTTTGTGGAAGCAATTCCAATAGGTTCGAGCTTCTGTCTATCCATTCATGCAATTTTATACATTGGCTCGGATGAGGCTGGAGTTGTTCAACGATGACCGGCGCAAGGCCGGTCATGCGCTTGCCGTAGATATCATTTAGGCCGTGAATGAGGCGCCCTTTCTTGGTTTGTTCGCATCAGTTTTGCTGCAAATGCAGCCTATTCTTGAACCCCGTGCTACCAGTGCCATGCTTGACTGCCTGGCTGCCAGCCAGTGCAGGCGGTTTTCCGTGGAGTGGTGCTCGCTGAGTGCTGCCAACCAATGAAGCCAAAGGCTACATCCGAATGACTGAAGCTTCAAGGGAAACATCTTGATATCTCTTTTAGTAAAGTGCTTACTGCATGGAAGTTTAGTTGGAAATTGGTAACCTCCAACGTCCTCAGTAGAAAGTTAAACCTTTTCCTCGGAGAAAGCTGTGGCTCGGATCGCCAGCAATGCCGCCAGGCTGCCTTCGCACTGATTGCGCAGGCATTTGATGACTTGTATTGACAGGTGGATGGACAAAATCCCTCCCCCAGCTTCGCAGCAGATCGCAGCAGTTGCGGGATGGTTTATCAACCGGTGTTCACAAGGTTTCATCAGGTGCAGGATTTTGTCCATCCACTTATTATTGTGAGTGGCTTGCATTCCTTGTAAGAGCATTTCCATTTGCATTTGCATGGCGAGTACATGCGAACACTGACGTGGGGGATGGGGCTTCTTGTGGCGTGCATATATCTCACTCCCTGAGTTCCTGGACTTAAGAATGTGTGTGTGTGTGTGTTTTTTTGAAAGCCATTTTAGTTGTAAATAAAAAAGTCAGACTTAGTTTGGCCAATCCACTCAGGAGGTGAGACATTGTGGTGTACGTTCGGTGTGGGGAGGTGTGACTCGGTGCATGGACCGAAGCTCGAGTTGCTCCGTGCCAGGTCTTGCTGGGCTTGAGCGTGCTGGTTTTCAAGGAACGCTCCAATCAATCCTGGGATAGGGCGAATCAATGGGAGAGAGTGAAGAGCGCATAACTCTGGAGAACATGGCCAGGGCTGGTCAAGGCAGGCAGTGCAATTCTTGAATTGTTGCGATGGAAAAAGTGTTCGTTAGATATCATTGGTTGTAGTTTCTATTCAAGAGAACAACTTTAATAGCACCATAGGTTTGTAATGATTTCAGCGCCTGTTGGCTGCAGATTGCGGGTGAGAATCCGCATTTGCTTCCTAAGCCTAAATCTATGAGCCAGACGCGCTCGCTGCTTGCGTGGCAGTGGTCAGGGGTCCCTTTATTTTCTTGTCCAGCCCGATCACTTTACTGGCCCTTAGGTGAGTTTCCTCTAAGGGAAAGCATAGAGAGCCCTGATGCCCATTGCGAATTGCTGCAATTGTAAAGCTTGCATGTACATTTAAATTACCATCGCGGAGATGACTGGCCTGACACGGGAAAGCGCCCAAAATTCGATCCGTCGGCAAGCCTTTGATCCAGTTGAACAACAAGTCAGCAAGAGGGTGCAGGACCGTGTCGGCCAGTGCCGTCTAAGGCACTTTGCACTTGGCAATGTGTCTCTCAAACAACTGAAGCAAAAGGCCCCGGCCGGCTTAGGGCCCAGCATGTGCTGCCAGTGATTCGGCTATTTGGGCCGGAAAGCGAGCTTGTAGCTTTTAGGGACTGCTGGGCCAAGAGCAAGCACAGGGGGCAGATCGTGGCTCCCAGCCATCCCCTCAGCCTTTCAGCTTTGTAGTATTTAGTGGTAGTTTCCATTTGTCCCATTAAAAGTTAGTCACTTTTCGCGGGGGATCTGAGGGGAGCCCACAGATATCAAAGCGCGGAGCCCTGTGGTGCTCAGGGTTCTCTGGCTTTTTTTATTTCAAAAAGCTGATGTCCACCAGCTTAGCGGGGTCACACGCAAAGTATCTTGGGTTGCAAGCTTCCCACGGAAAGCCCCCCCTGCAACTTGGCTCACCCATCAGCCAATGGTGGACTATGGGGATCTTGAGCAGGTGACGTGCCAAGCTTCACAAAATGTTTTTGTGGGGTCCTACCAATGCCAAGTTGCCGCCGCCTTGGTTTTGTCGACACAACCTTTTGGGCTTTTCCCATTTATGGCATTCGTACCAATGTTAATTTTTCTATATAGGACGTGAGGAAGACAGTCTTCAGCTTGCGACGGTGGACGCAGCCGCCATCGTAGGATCCCTGGCGTTTGGATCTCTTTTCCGCTTAAACCACCCCAGCCAATGCGCGCGAAGCCGTGGGTTTTGAGGGCGGCGAGTCGGAGCACTTAAAAAGCAAGGTGCGCGCTGCAAGACCTCTTTCATGAGACAAATTCTAATTGGTGATTGGTGGTTTGGGGATTTGAGCCGCTGGTTCTTGTAGAGGGTGAATGGGAAACTACCCTAAACCACCAAACCACAGGGCTCCAAACCACCAATTGGAAGGAAGCGGATTTCAGGTGGTGTGGGTCACCGAGAAGTTTTGCATGCTTTGCCCTTTGACCCTGCATGCGGCTCATGGATTTTATTGTCTCAAGCCAGCACAGAATTCAGCCAGCGCGGAACAAGGCCTAAAAGCCAAGCATCCGGCCATGAGTGAAACTTGGATGTCAAGCATCTCAGGGATGAGTGCACGCATGCACAGTGGCATACCTGGTTCGCCCAACCAACCAGAACCAACCAGACATTCACAATCAAATTGTAAGTGGCATCACTTCATTGTGCTTTCAGCAGGCCTCCTGGCTGAGTGCAATTGCTTGCTTGGCGGGCTTTTTGTCACACGCGCTTACTCGACCAAGCTTCGCTCGACCCGGTAAAGCCTTTCCCAATCAGTTGTCCTCCTTGTTTGCCAATCGTTTCATGCCTCTCCCTGGGCATGACGAATCAAGCATTGGTTCCATTTCTTCAACTTGGCGGGCTTTTGTCGGGGGGGCCAAGGGGTTGCTGCGCTGGGGTTCAGAACGCCGCGCAGGTGTCCATGGCATGGCTCTGGGGTGTGGGGTAGCCAAGAGAAACGATCGCAGAGGAGTAGCCGGAAGGAACCTGTTTGGCTCTGAGGGATTCCCAAAGTTTGCAGCTTTGAGTTCCTTTCAAACTACCCCCCAAAAGGGTACCTCAAAAAAAGTCACACCCAGTTGTTAGAACCCATTCAACTTTTCAACGCATTGGTCGCCCAAAGACGTGCTCTTCAGAACGCCGGGCAGTCAGCCAGTCAGCTGTTGTGGAGGCTGCCGCACTGCTGGCACTTGAATTTCATGCCGCAAAGTATGCCTCAAAGTATGCCAAAGTATTTTATGCACTTGAATTTCATGCCTTCCAATCCTGCTGAATTTCATGCCGCACTGCTGGCACTAGACGTCTATTCAGCAGGAAGGCATAGAAGCGGGCAAGCGGGCAAGCCAACCCAAGGCGGGCTATCCGCCAATTTGTTTTTGCGAGCTCGCCTGAGAGTATAATTATTTAAGCTCACCGTCCTTTGCATGGGGATGCCTGAATTCCTTATTCAGGTTTTGGACGTATTGCAAATTTTGCAGATGGTTCCCACCAAACCGGGTACTCCTGGTTCGCCTTCAAAAGCTCGGCAGTCAGCTAGCGGCTCCCTCAATTCAGGTTGTGGATTTGTTTCGTAAGATTTGCAGATGGCCATTGCTTGCCGAACGTTTGCTCACTGGTCCCCAGAAACAAGGATTGGAGTGAAACCGGGCCCATCGCCCGGCTTGACTCTGAGGGCGGCAGGCTCATGTTTGCATGTTGAGCAGGCCATGCACGTTTGCGTCCCGAGATGTGAAGCACGAAACAAAGAAGAATTAACTGTAGGCCTGAGGAGAGCGCAGGGACAAAATGCCTCCCAGTTCTTGTGAGTCTTTCTGTGCCGATGCTTCATCTCAGATATGGAGCGCCTTTCGTTGGCCAGCGAAGAAGGCAATCTGGCTGTGGTTCCAGCCAAACAGCCTGCTCAGGCGAGCTGCCGCTTTACAGTCGCTGGCCGAGAGGCTGTGATCTCCGCCCTTGCGCGGGGTTGCGCCTCTTAAATTCCTTGGCAGAGGCGTCCTGTTCATCGGTGAATGTGGTTAGAAACAGATGGGTTTCACTGGATTATTGGCTTCATTCCCTTTACCAGGGCCACCTGTAAGCAAGCGAATGATGTGCATGTGCTGCAGGTCATCCAAGAAAGTCTTATTGCAGATGGCGGCTTTGCCTACGTGTGCGCCCTTTGATCATGTGACATTACGAGTTAAGATGGAAGTTATTTAATGAATCAATCATGTATACACATGTGATATATATAGATTGTGTGTGTGTGTGCATGTGTGCGTGTTGGTCCAGCAGTTATTCCGCATGCCTGAAGTCGGCTTGCAGGTGATGGTGCATGAGATCAAGTGAAGTGTCATGAGATGCATTGGATATGTCATCAGGTACAGGGGCCAGCAACCAAGTTTGACTCGCTCGCATAGCATTGATGGTGATGCCCACAAATGATTCATCTGGCTATGCCCAGACCGGGGTTACACGAGCTCACGATGTGTGTGTGGGGCTTCTTTGCCTCAGCGTTTGGAAGGTGAGTTATGTTGATTTCTCGTTTGGTGCATTTTGCCAAGGGATGTTAGGACTTTACCTGTTTGCCAACCAATAGTTTTCCATTAAACCAGTAAAAGTTAAACTTTTGGCAGGGGAGCAGATTTCGCAACCGAGACTCCTGAAGCTCACAAAAGCGGCAACCCCCAAAGAAAACTCGTCAAGGCCGCGATGCCCAGACTGGAGAAGCCCTCGCCATCCGTCGGGCGCTGCTGCAGGATGCAGAGGCCGCCCCACGCTAGAGGTCCACAACTAGGTCTCCCAGTAGTGCCCTTTTACCAACTTTTTTTGGGGGGAGTTCCCCTACTAAAATAGACTGCAGAGAAAAAAGGTACCCTTATTCTAACGGCGGTTGAACAGGTTCCTCCAAAAAGCCACATCCATAAAGTCCACAGGCTCCTGAAGGATTTGGATCCTCTCAATCAGCTGTTGTTGTTTTTGTGTGTTTGTGCTGGGCTGTGTGTGTGTGTGTGTCTGTGTGTGTTGTGTTGCGCTATTTTCGCTGTGGCCAGAATGTGTCCTCTAACCGGAACTCAGCCCGATCTTTCCCTCAATCAGCTTCCCTGTTCGATGTGTTGCTTTTTTGGGGCCCCCTTTGTTTTCCGCTCACTAGGCAAATATATGTATCTATATATATATATATATTTGATATATATTTTGCTGGGGCTCTAATTCCAGCCAAGGAATGGAATGGGAGCTGTGCCTCGTTGCCCGGGCCAGTGAACCCCACACCGACGCTTCGACTTATGGCCGCGTGGCTCGAGAAGTGCCCTCCGCGGAGCACCCCGCAGCCCCCCCTCAGAAGAAAGGCCAACAGCAGCAGCAGAAGCAACCACAGCAAAAAACAGCAGCAGCAGCAGCAGCAGCAACAACAACTACTACTACAACTACTACTACTACTACTACTACTACTACTACTACTACTACTACTACTACTACTACTACCACACCAACAACCAACAACCGACAAGCAAAACAACAAAAAACATGTCATACCCCGGACATCCTTTGGCCAAGCAACCTGGACTATCGGAAACTGGGAATTGGATTTTTGGCATTAGCCAAAGATGGGATTGAGCCATGAAAGTCCGGAAGTGCAAATGCCATCCAGAATCTTTGTTTGGCGCTCCTTGGCTGCACTTTTCGACGCTTCTTCTCGCCCTAAAAAGAAAGCGCCACAGCAGGCGAAACATGGCTCAGACTTGTTGCAGAGTCTGTGCGTGCGAGGGGCAAACAGTTGCCATTTGCTGGTGAACAGGTTTGAGCAACACACACACACACATGCACCAAGAGGGACTTTACATGTTGCCTCATGTTGCCTTGTGAACCACTTTCACGTTGGCATGGGTTTAGCTTTGCCGCAGTAGGGCTAGCCAAGATTCAGATGCGTCCAGCCACAGCTGCAGAGTGCCATTCTCATGCAACAAATTGTCTAGGTTACTTACCGTAGAGAAGACGCCAGAGATGCTAAGCCTCCCTCAAGCAATCATAGAAGCTGACAGCAGGGGTTCGGAACACTGCTTTCTCTTGGATGGTTCCCAGCCATCCCCTTCGGCCCTTCAGCTGTTAGGCTTTTTGGGGTTCAGCGTCCATTTCACCCACCCAAAGTTCGTCACTTTTCGCAGGAGCGGGGCCCAGGCGCAGAAGACTTGCGCGCTTTGGTTTCGAGGGGCGCGGGGGGATCTCGCTAGGTGGCCTTTGGTTGCGGCATCTTCAGCTTGCAGCTCGGTCGCGGTGTTTTTAATTATTTTAGTATTGTCCGCAGCCCGTTGGGTCGGGAAGAAGATGAGACCGGTGGGTGCGAAATCCGGAAAATGCCGCACCACGAAATGACACCACGGTCGAAACCAGAACGTTCATGGGTATTTGAGACAGACCCTTGGGTTTCTCAACGATGCGAGAGATGGATTTTGCAAACATCCGCATGTCGCAAGTGGCGCATTGCGCAAGGTACACCCAGCTGCAGGGGCCAGGCTCGCTTCCGTCAGGCTGGCCTGGTCAAAACGTCTTGGCCGTTTTTTTTTGTTTTGTTTTTTTTGTTTTTTTGCGGAACCTCTTGCTGGGCTTCCTCTATGTCGCTTTTGGAACCTGCAAAAGTGGTGATTTCAATGGATAAACCACGTGTAAATTGATTAACTCCTGTGGACATTCACTTTTGGAGCCTCTAAAAGTGGCGATTTCAAGGAACACCCGGAAAAAGTTCTCTTGCCCAAAGCGAATCGACAACTTCGACCTTTCGGGTTTCCAAAGTTGGTCACCTTTTTTTTTTGGGCCCGCAAAGGTGATCACTGTTTATTTCCGGGTCCTTCAAAGGGGGCAGAGAAATTGATCAACTTTTCTAGGGGTACCTTCCCCATTCTTTCCAGGGATCCGAATCTTTCTAGAAAACCTCCGGAAACCCAGGGAAAACGGATCCGGTTTTTGGAAAGAGCGATGATTGAAAAGCATGGACAAGGAATCAACCTCTACAACTTTTGCTTTTGGGAACCCCAGTAACTCCAGCTCAGCTGAGGAGTGCCAACTGAGCCACCGCTCAAAGTCTTCATCTACCAACTCAACGACTCCTTTCGGGATGAAGGCCGCGGATGCAACCTGCTACAAAGCGCTCACCTCAGTTTTCTTGGCTCTCCCTTTTTTTCTAGTTGTGGCGCACAAAGTGTACACTGTTTGTGGCTGGTCACTGGCCAAGAGAGTTTCTCATCCGCGGCACAGACACCCAGCGTTTCTCCCACTCACCCAAAAAAAGCCAGTGATCTATGGCCACATGAGCGTGAAGCTAACCTTTTCTCTGCGCATGTGGTACTTCATGACCCCCATTGTGAGGAGATTGCGCCTTCGGCGGTCCAGTTGAGCATCGTGATGGCATTGAGATTTGGAATTCTGGCCAATTCGAATGGCCTCGTATGATTTACTACCGCCTGCAGCACGCGACATACAGCACCTGAGCCAGATCATTCATGTTTGTTTTCTTCTTGTGCTGTGCTCTGTGTAAGTTGGCACTTGGCACTCGCAGATAGGTAATTGGAAACTCCTACAAAATGATAGATGGCGTTTCCCTTGCAGCCGACAAGTACGTATCGCTGTTTGCTGAGTATTGCGGTCAAGCAATTTGTCGTCCAATTCGATGAAGCCCAAGGAACAAAGAGCGTGAAGGACGCCGATGTATTTTTCATCCCTGCTTTTCGCACTGGACTGGAGGCAAAGTGCAGTGACAAAGAGGCGGTTCTTGCAGCGGATGCTCGGCACCGATGATATTGCTACGTTTTTCGCGGTTTTGCACTCGCGGGATTGGATTCAACTCATGTGCATGCGTTTGTGTTTGGGTGGTTTTTGAGTGTATTTTTAGGAGGGTGGGAAGCGCCCAGACTTCTGGATGGAGTAAGAATGGACTCATTGTAAAGTAATGTTGGCCCCGGATTAACAAGCCCCTGTTTATTAATTTGGGGGGGTTCCCCTCCAAAAGTGATATTTCCCCACTAAAACCGGGGACACCCCCATATCAATAAACAGGGGTTGATTAATCCGGGGTCAACATTAGCAGTTTGACGGAAAAGGAGATGAGAAGGGGAAACTTTGGCTCCGACCTTGGAAACTGCACAAGGTCTTCAGCCAGAACCCCCTGCTGGCAGGCGGTGCTGTTGCAAGATCTCGCCAGGGACTCTTAACATGTGACTATGATTTGTTTATAGAAAGCACCCTAAAACATGATTACTTGGACATCAGTTCCCACCTAAATGATAAACAGATCCTCAAACATGGTTGCTGAACATCAATTCGCACCATGATGTCCACCAAAGAGCCCCAGAGGACCAAAGGATTCTGTGCTTGTTGGTTGTGCTTCAACGGCCTTGTCTCCTTTCAACCTGCACCTTGTGGCCACAGTGAAGCGCCGTGACGGGCGAAATCCATTTCGCACCACCAAATAAACCCTGGAATGATTCGATTCCCGTGTACGTACCAACAAGTGGCGGCTTCCAATGGTTTCATGGGGCAAGATTTCGTCCATCGGAGCATTATGTGATTAATTACCGGCCCTGCACATTCCAACAAAGCATGATTTCAACCACGGTTTCAAAGCGGTGCGAGATGTTTTCGCCCATCCACAGTAGCTCCAGCTTGTGAGAGAGAGGTTTCTAAGTAGATAGCTGAATCGGCGTGGCTGTAAATCTCTGCCCTTCAGGTCCACAGATGGAGGCAGTGGCTAAAAGGCATTTCTTCATTGACAGCCGCGCTGGCTGGGGTGAGGAGATGTGTTTCCTGGCGCGCAGTGAATGATTCGGCACTTCCTAGCGCTTTGACTTGGTTGACATTTGAGGCGCCTACATGTGGAGTGATCAGGGGGCACCGCGTTTCTTCAAACGCCTGCCGGCTGCATGCAGCGCACATGGGCCACCCGTTGAGCGCTGGCGTAGCGTAGGATTGGCTGGCGCCGAATCAGTAGAGGCTGTCGACTTTGTCAGCTAGAAAGTCTTGACTATGTGTCAAAATGGAGGAACCTCGCAAATGGTGGCTTTTCCTTTTGGTTTGCCTCTAGACACCAAAAGGGGGGTGTTCCCACAGCCCCACACCCTTCTTCTTAAAGGGTGAAGATGCGGCAGCGCGGGCCACTGTTGTCTTCTCCAGCTTCTGGACAGCCACTGTGTTTGCTTCGCCTCTTGATATGTGGGGCATGGTATGGTACAGGCGGTTGCTTCGGATGGAGCGCTTTGATTCGGCTGAGGTGTTGTGTTGGAGATCGGGGACTGGGCGCCGCAGCACCCAGTGGCTGACTATACCTACGGCCGGCCTTGGAAATGGCTGGCTTTCCCATACCCGCCGGGAACCCGGCGAAGCGCGCAGATCTCCCGGCGAAATGTGCGACCTTTGAAGTCTCGGCCACATGGATAGCGGGTATTTGAGAGGTGGGACGCTGATCAGGTTGTTCAATGCATCGTTGCCTGCAAGTTCAGGTCCTTCTACCACGGCCCAGTAGCACAGCTGCCGGCACGTCAAAGGAAGCGAGGCCCTGCAAAGGTCCTGTGGTCCTTCTTTGGGAGCCGCTTGGAGCAACAGAACTGTAAGGGTTTGCGCACTGCTTGCAATGCGTGGAACATGGCATGTTTGTTTGGCTGGGCTTAAAACCTGTACGGGTTCTCCAACAGACGGGGGGCTTCCTTTCGGTATCCTGACACCAAGAAGGGGTCCCCAGAATCAGTTCCCCCTTTTTTTGGTGCTTTTTGGAGGGTCCCCAGTGTTTTCCACGAACCAAGCCAAACAAAGTTGCTTTTTGCTGGGGTCCTATTTCCAGCCAAGGAAGGGGACCACCAACCCTACACCCACAAACCCCTTTTGCCGCTCGCTCGCGCAACCTAGCTGGCCGGGGGGCTGCCGCTGGACTTCGACACGCGTTGAAGCAGGAGCGATGGGACTCATACCCACCAACTCGCCCAATCCAACCCACCCAACCAGCCACCGCCATTGCTAGGCACGTTTTGCAAGTGTCAGGAAATAGTCGTTGAGCTCCGAACTTGCCAAACAGCTGCCACACGTTGAAAGCGCCACAAAGACATGCGAAACTGAACTTGCCAAGCCAGCAAAAATGCCGTGCCAACAAACATGTATGTATGTATGTATGTATGTATATATATATATATATCACAAGATGTGGGTATTATTATTCACGGCACGGCGTTGGCATGATACGGTCTGACCTTCAGCGGAGAGGCGCAAGACGTTCTTGTTTGGATCGTTTCCAACAATACTCAAATCTACTTTTTCCCAAAGTATTGGGGGGGGGTCCCTTCAGGCCTTAAGTTATGGGGTTTTGTCCGGTGGAAGCGGCCCGATTGAAACGTTTGGCATGTCGAGGCACGCCCTGCAAGTTAAGGCAGAACTCTTGGCAAAACTTGCTGGTGCAAAAGGTAGGGAATGTGGGAAAGACCTCAAGAAAAACCATCCCCGATGTGTTTTTCTCTAAGGGAATTCCCAGGTCTGTTCCATGTCTCATTCCCTAGCTATCGCAACATCCAGCCCGAAAGGAGTGCGCTGCAGTGGGAAGGAAGATTTGCTTCGAGCCAAGAGAGCCGAGCAGCACACACTACGACGCTGCCACCATGAAGGACATGACCATTCTGGAGGAGACGGAAGAATGAAGGGCTCAAAACCGGGGGACCTCAGAACATGGTGGTGGCCCTTTTGGCTTCCCCTTACTTCAAAAAGGGCACATCCTCACATGCGCGGTTGAGAGGTGCAACGCAAGAGGTCGGCCAGCGAAAGCTCGCAAATGGACAAGGCCAATATTGTTCCGAAGCTTGTGGTCAATAGCACTCGGTTTTAGCACTGACATTGTTGACCTGACTGAACTTGTGGATTGTCGGCTCCGCATTTTCAACATGATGCCGGCAGTCATTGTACCCCGCTATCTGAGATTTGTTTTATGCCACCTGCTTGCGCGCAGATTGAATGCTACTGTGAATGGACAATTTCACACCAGGTTGAAGCCAGTTTTTGTCGATATTTACAGGGGACTCATCATTCCAGGGTTTCTTAATTAGGTGGCGCAGGATTACGTCCATCCACAGCAGGGATAGGTTGCTTACAGTTGCTTGGTGCTGGATTTTGGCTACAGGACCCAGACATGATGCGACGCTCATTGCACAGTTTCATGAACGCGACGTTCTGTGCGCAGCCTCCTGGCGACACCATCTCTAGGAAAGGTCGCTTGGCATTGCTTCTCCTCACTTGTGTCGTTTGGGATTTCAAGTGTTTGCGTTGATTCGATCCGGCGCTAGCGTGCCCCATCCCAGGCATTGTTGATTCCATCATCTCTGGCTGCATTCCTGTTGTATTCGTGCCCCAGCAGCTGAATATTTGGGAGGCAAGCTGGAGACGAGTGTGGGTGGCAATGTAAGTGTGGAGAGCTAATCAAAAGACATGTTTCGGACAGGTAGGCGAGAAAACGTTTAAGCTGATTGGACAGTACACCTGATGCACAGACGCACCTCACGAAGCAAGAGTTTGAGTCAATGGCAGCGGGGCACTCAGCATTTTGCTCAGGTTGTGCATGTCCCCACAGCCATGTCTTTGCAAGGAGTTTCCAAACAAACACAAAAATGCGGCCAGGTGTTCGTGCCAGAAATCTTCATTCTCGGGACCCAGAACAAGGAGGAGCGTCGGAGCTGAAGGTTGGCAGGCAAGGGAAACCGAAAGACAAACCGAAGCCGTTGGGATCCCTTGAAGACACACCCAGATTTGTCGCACGTCATGTTACACCATTTCCGTGGCAAAGTTCATTGGCCACTGTGATCAGCGTTGCTAAAGGTACAATTACTTTCGTGGTGGAGGTTAGGCATGCGCGTTTCGATGTTATCATTGTAAGTGCAGTGGTTGAGGCAGTGATGAACTAATGAACAGGCATGCACATGAGGACCCCCCCTCTTTGTGGGCAAAGCTGAACTTGGGCGTGAAGACCGAGTATGAAGAGGATGTGCCTCGCGTCAAATGAATGAACCATGCCACACGAAGGCTGCTTGCAGACTCACTCAGAATGAGCTGCGGCCAGCTTCGGCAAGTTGATGGCTCGTGCTGAGGAAGTGTCGCCAGCGAAGTTTGCTCATGACACTGGGCTGAATTGGCGTTGGCATAGCGTACTGCGAATCGGTTCCTGCTCAATGAATCTGACAGGTAAGCTTGCTGGTGCGATATGTCGGGAATGACCGGACCCCGGGTTTTGGGAATGAGCCGTTTGGGGGGTTCCCTTAATGAAAACCAGATAGTTGTTTTTTTCTTGTTGTGTGTTTTGCAGGGGCCATTCCAATTCTCATTCCCTGCCTATCGAACCAGCAAGCAGCCGCTTGGCATGTTCAACTTGCAGACTAGGCATGGGAGAGCTTGGGCTACAACAGCCCGCCTTGGTTTGCCTGGCTGCTTTCTACACGCGGTTCGGTCGGCTTCAAAAGTCCTGTGTTGCCGATGCAGGCAAGCCCGCATTCACTGGTCGTTGATGGGTTGATCTTGATTGCTATTGGGTTGAACAGACTTCAACTTGTGGGTTGAAATCTGTCGGGTTTTCCCTATTGAGCCCACAAAAAGTCAAACGTACATATTTTTTCCCAGAAACCTCGGTGCAACCAAGCGATGGGCAGAACGCCAGGGCGAGCTTCTTGGAGAATGCCAGCTACCAAGTGCCGCACCGTTTGACCCAGGCGAACGACTGTTGGCCATGCCTTTAGGATCCTTTCATTTGGGCCCACAAAAGTGGTTGATTTTGAGGGGAGACCAAGGGGAAACCAAACTTGGTGGCTCCCAGCCATCCGGTTCCTTAGCTTTTTAGCCTTTCAGTGTTTAGTGGCAGTTTCCGAATTTAACCCACTAAAAGTTAGTCACTTCAGCGGGGGATCTGAAAACGGGCAGCAAAGATTCAAGGGGACCCCCTCCCCCCAATTTTGAGGAGAGCATGCCATCTCACCTTCCATTTGTTTAAGATTTTGTTTTTGTTAATCCCTTGTTGGTTTGAAAAGGAATTTATCACTATATACTAAAAATATTTGTATTTTTTTCGGGGTCTTAACCAAATGGAAGTCACCCGTTGAATTGACTCACCGGGAGATCGGGTTTATGAGACTTCCAGTGATCGCCAGGTGCTGCAGCGGATCTCAGAGGCTGAGATCAGACGCGCGCTGCTTCAAGCCTTGCGGTTTGCCGTTTGAGCTTTTCGTTTTGGGTGTTTTTTTGTCCGTCAAGGGGAGATACACCAACCATGGATGCACTGTTCTGGCGAATCATCACTTTTGCCAGGAAGCATGTTGTTGCATTCACTTCTGCCTATGCCCTTCAACCTTTGGGGGGGAGAAATGGGCGACAATGTCCCAGCGCAAAGGCCAGCTGGCGCGGGATGGCCAAGTCTCTGCATGGGTATGGGTCAAGATGAAACCACCAGGAATTGCACCACAGATTTTAGTTTACATGTTTCCATTTACCAGGGCAAGCCATTGTGGGTACCTTTTTTTGACCCACAGCCATTTTGGTGGGGCTCTTTTTTTCAAGGGGAGATACACCAATGGATGCACCAACATGGTTGGTTGGTTGGTGGGTTGGTGGGTTGGTTGGTTGGTTGGTTGGTTGGTTGGTTGGTCGGTTGGTCGGTTGGTTGTTTGGTCGTGTCGTTTGATGCCCAAAGTGAAGAAGTGATGTCAAGATGGCTGAAAAGAAGGGGAATCAACCCCTATAAAAGTATGTCTTTTTGTGGACCCTGGTGCTGTGCCGCCTATGAAAGTATGGATGCTCGACAAGGTTCCTAATTATGACAACCTTCATTTGGAAGAAGGCCGGAACAAAATTAATTACTCAGCAAAGGACAACGCACTTGTCCTTTGCAAGAAAAAACGGGAAGATCATGTTTCACCACCTCGTAGCCACTCTTGAGCCTGTCCGTTCCTCCTCCGTTCTTTTAAGCAACCAGCCATTTCTTCTGGGGTTTTGCCTAGAAAGAATGGAAATGGGAGGTAGCCCTAGAACTTTTGGCTCCCCACCCCGTTATCTCAGGCAAGCAAGACCTGCTGGCCACGTACGCCTGGCGCCTACATTTGGGCTACGCGGAGGAGCAGGATGCCCTCACGTTGCTGCTAAACCGTGGCTTGGCTGCGTCTCGCTTTGGTTTTAAACATCACCTTTTTGGTCCATGAAAGGCGAGTGAGTGTCCTTTGGTGAGCGTGATGTTTTAAGGGGAAATGTAGCGAGCCCTGATTTGAGTGGCAAAGTGCAAGAGTCACGAAGCATCAACTGGAACAGCACACCCATGTCGGGTGTTCTCAGAAAGAAAACACCGATGCCAATTGGATGACCCAAATCTCGGGAAAGAAGCCAGCCTCCCTTTGGGCTTCCATGATGTTCCATGTTAATCATGTTGATTTGGAGCGGAGAAAGGTTAGGCCCATTCGGCCGCATGCAACCCACTGAGGCATATCCAAGGGCTGAAGCATTTGGAGAACGACCCATAGCTCGCCAAGCCACCACTCGACTCCGTCGACTTCACGACTCCGCGAAGATCCCGTCCCTTCGCCCCTGAGAGCAACGCGCGCCAAAGGTCAGCGGAAAAAAACAACAAACACAACAAGTCGAGTTGCTGGCATTTGTAGGCACCTTGCCTGCACCGCCGGCCGGGATTTCATTATTATTTTTTTGCGCGCGCAGGCGCACCAGGCCGCGCAACTGGAGATGACGCTTTTGCTACGCTTGCAGTGGACCCGGGCTTTGCGGATTCGAAGGGAAGTCGCTTGGTCGGTTGGTCAGTGACCGACTTTCCGTGAATGCTCAATTCCGGAAGCCGCCAAGATGCTCGGATTCAGTTTTCCGAGGCCACACCATGACCACGTCGTCCGCTTTCTCGGCGCAGACGTTGTGGAAGGAACAGGCAAAAGGGGGGTTGGGCGGGAATCCATCGACAGGAATGCTTCGTGCAGTTCGGATGCTTTGCAAGATGTTCCAAGATGTTTTCAGCATGTGCTGTTTAAAGGCAATCCCTAATCCTTACCTTGGGTTACGCAAGGGGTCCGTTTTGTGGTGGCTTGCGAATAGGAATGATGGGCTTTCCAATATGGATTGTGGATTAGGATTGACCGACACTCCGTTTTAAACAGGTCAAGACATTCTCCACCCGTACCGTCGTACTGATGCCTTGACGCAGGCGCCCCAGGCCCGTCCAAGACGCAGGCGTGCTGGGTTTTGCCAAGGTACCCGCTTAGATGAAGGTTAGAAAGGGACAGTCCCAGCCAGAAACAGCCGCGGCCGCCGTTCTTTTCCTTACGTGGTTCTGGGTCAACCATTTTGATACCGGGTTTTGATTGTCACTCGGGTGCTCTCCATGCCAAAGAATTGGATCGCGAGTGTCCTCCTAACGTGGCCCGCAGACATGGCAGCTTGTCCGAATTGCACTCTTTACTTCCATTTGCTTGAGAACATATATGTTTGTATATTATTCTCCCCGGTTGGTTTTAAAGGGAACCTATCACTACTGGAAATATGTTGTTGTTTCCTGGGATTCTTTTTAGCAAACGGAGGCTTAGCCAGCAGGCTGAGGCAACCTTGAGGTGAGTCTGTCCCAGGCGGTGTCGCTTTTCGAGCTGTGCGCGGTCCTGAGTTTGCGCTTAGCTGATGGCAGGAGGAGTACAGATGTCTCTCACCCAGGCTTGAAGATGGGTGGAACGTTTCCCCTTGTTGGTTGGTTAGTGGGGTGGCTGGTTGGTTGGTTCGTTGGGCCGAAATGGTAGTTGTTCCCTCCGCGCTTTTGTTGCAACGACTGACAAGGCACCGGCGGCACGCTGTTTGCAAGGCTGTGGCGGGTATGACGGGTGATTGGCATGGCCCATGGCCCCTGGCTGCCACGTCGAGTTGTTGGCGTTGCACCCACAACCGGCAACCAGGGCTGGCTACCGCCTTAATTCCTGGCATAGGCACCTTGTTTTGAACAACCCCATGTGTTCAGCGTAAACGCCACAGCTGCACAGTCATTCTTGGACATGGACATGCAGGTTGGAGGGCTTGAGACGGAAAGGGCTTCAAGCCAGCAATTTGAGGGAGACTGTTTTGTGTAAAAGAGAAGGTCGACCGGGCAATTTCTGAAAGCCAACACTTTTTGAAGCTAGGCTCCAGGGTTTCCCGTGTTGGCGTTTATTTGGGCTTGTGTTTTCTTAGCCGAGCGCCGAGCCCCACAGCTGTGGTTGTCCCTTTGGTATTCCTTTCAACCCCCCCCAAAGCACATTTTACGGGCCTGCCATGCTTGCCAGGGTGGAAGCTGTAGTAGAGAGAGCACGTGCAGGCGCCGGCATGCGCTCTTTGGGGGCATAGGATCCAAAGCCAGCCCTCCCCAAACCCTAACCCCCCCATGTGCCGGTCTACCTATCAAAACCCTAGAGCTATTTGCTAACGGATCTTTGGACGTTGGCTTTTTGCTTGAAACTGGCAGTTTTTTTGTTTTTCCATATTTTGGACCCACAAGTCAAAGACTGTTTGCCGAGGGGTCAACCAAGAAAAGGCCTGAATATAAGGCCTTGTTTGGAGGAGGGGGAGGGGGTGGGCATGTGTGGTATGACTTATGCATCAGCTTGGAAGGACCGCACATGCGGTACTGCTGCCCGGAGCTCGGAAAGCTTCCGCTGGGTCATATTTTGACACATGTCTTGCTGGCCGGAGCACATTGGGATTCGCGAACCGGGAGGTCCGTGCCTGCCAGAGGCAGAAGCACTTGCTGCGCCAGCAACTCAGCGCTTGAGGGCTGGTGCTCGAGATTTGCTTGCTGGTGCTCGGTAGGGGATGACCGAGTCCGGGTGTTGGGAATGAACTGTTTGGGGGATTCCCGAATAAAGGAAACAAATCGGGGATGTTTTTTCTTGGCGTCTTTCCAGTTCTCATTCCCTGCCTATCGAATCATCAACAAATGGACAGAGCCATTTTTTTCTTTCGAGCAGGCCAGCTTCTTGCTTCGGTGTTCGGCCAAAGTTAGTAAGTTGGTGGCAATCTAGGTTGTCACCCACGTATACCGGGGTTAACCCGGTCATTCGTGGGTTAGGACACAGGTGCCTAGCCGTTTAACTTGGCCGAACACGGCCCAGGTGCTCGATGTGTTTCGGAATTCCCGAGGTTAAGCGGCACTGCTTCTGCCTTACATCATTTGCATGCGCACAGTCGCAGGCTCAGAGAGCGATAGCCGAGCACATGCAAGCGAATCGCCCCAATCTGACCCATGGGATCATTCGCGGACTTTATCCCCACTTCTGGAAACCTCCTTGTTTGGGGGGTTAGTCTTTGGGAAGCCCTTTCTGTTGTATCACAGAAGTTGTCATTTCCCTGACCTTTTGGTGTTCCCTTTTTGTTGTCCACTTGTAGTAAAGGTCCCAAAAGGTGATCACCTTTTATATGGTTGGGCTCTTTGAGCAAGTGAGTAGCTGCAACGGACATCACAGGAATAATTCACTACGACGTCAAGAGCGAGAATCTAATGCTAGGCGGGGCATATGGCCTGGACCTTCACGACTGCCAGAAGCGTGGTGCTTTCATGAATTGGGGACAGGTGATGTATGACCTTGACACGGTTCTTCACTTTATAGATTTCCCATTGGACCCACAAAAAGTCAAAAGTTTTTGCCGAGTCGTTGCAACCAAGTTCGGAGCCATGTGACATTGCATGCTGTGCACAGGCTCTGATGGGCGTTGGAAGCTTGGAGACTTCGGTTCCGCAAGTGGGGACCTCCAGGTTTTAGATGCCAAAAGGCCAGTGGTTGCTCGTCGCCTTCGAGGCGAACGAAGCTTCGATTTGCAGGGTGCACCTCGGAAGCTCCTCCTTGAGGCTGGGAGGCACAATTTGGCGCCAAAAAATGCGCTGGTCCAATGGTCGTGTAAAGCAGGGCATGGGCAATTCGCGCATTTTTTCGAGATGCGTGTTTGGCTGCTTCCTTTTGGACAAAATCGAAGGCCTGCAATTGAGGAAAGTAGCTCGTGAATAGTGTTTGTCCCACCTTGCCCAAAGCAACCTTTTGGTTTTTCCTGTTTTGGCCCATTTTGCGTCATACCACGAAATGTCGATGTCTGGGTGCCCACAAGCCCAGATCCTCTTTAATGTGACTGTTTTGGGGTCCTCTTTAGTGTCCAACTGGTTTTGAGGGTTGCTGAAAAAACGGTCCTTGGCAATGCGGTACGAAAAATATGTCGTGTTGCAGGCGACTCTGGTTGCCAGGCCGAGGCGTTTGTGCACGGCCGATGCACGCCGATTTTCCGCGCACCAGAGGCGGGAGTGGGTCTTCAGTTCTAGTCAGTGAGAATTGGTGGCCCTGCTGACATGTCGGCTCAACAGGAAATAACATTCTTACATGTCCTACTCTGACGTTTAATATAGGTAGCATATGTTTTTTCCTGTTTGTAGCAACTGCTGTTTGTTTGGAGCAGTTGTTTGGACCATTTTGCCACACCAATTGGCAATTCACTTGGAGAGATAAATACGCCCGTTGTGTTTGATTTAAATCGATTCATTTGTCGGTGGCTTTCGCTTTTCGTGGCCTCAGCTCTAAGACCAACAGCCTACCCCAAGCCAAGGTTTCACCCACACCGAAGCTGCCCATCGCAATCCCACAACAAAAATAACTAAACCGCCAACCGCAGATCGAACCTTTGCACCACAAGCAGATTTTGCATGGGTCAGGTTGCTGATGTCCATCTGAGATGGCCAATCGGTCCTGGCCTGAGAGATGATTTCTCGACCGGATCTTTGAACCCCAAAAGGGGCACCCAGGTAGATGGAAACAACGGCTTAACCACGGCTGGGCACATGGCGGCTTGATTTTTTGCATTTAGCATGTTGTCAAGTGAATGCCGTGCTGAGCAGATGGCTTGCAGATCTACCCACCCATCTGCCAAGCTTGATCTTGATTGCCGTGCAACGTCAATTGGATTGATATGACGCCGCGCTTCCAGACTCTTTGGCACCCGAGGCCCCAAAGCGGACATGTTTTCTTTGGGTCCGGCTCCCGGATGCTTGCAGTGAAGCGGCTGGCCACTGGAGCCAGTGCCAGGCTGTGTCCTTTTTGCTTGCCTCACGGGCATCCATCCCTTCCCCATGGACTCCGCCCTGGCAAACATCCAGGCTCGCCAGTCGCCAGTCGCCCGTCGCCAGTCGGGTCACAAAAGGCTCAGGCCTCGTGTCAGGCCAAATATCACCTGCCTCCAGAATCAGACGCAGCAGTCCTAGAGGCCAAATGGCTTGCATTTTCCATGGGAATTTTGAGAGTCGGCGGCGTTCAATTTTGGACAAAACACAACTGAGGCATATTCTGAGGTCATCCTCAGGCAGGATCTTCATCATTGAAAGGACATTGGCTGTGATGGCATGACCTCTGTTTGGGCATGTTGGGCAGAAGGCTTTGCCCACGTACTTGCTGTTGTGCACTGACTCCGAGGGTCTTCGCCTCACGCCGGTTCCAGGGCGCTTTTTGATTTGAAGACTTCCATGGTTCTAGGGGTTGATTCCCCATTCTTTTCAACATCATTCTTTGCAAAACCCGGCTGTTTCCCCTGGGTTTTTGATGATTTCCTGAAAAGAAGGACCCCTGCGACAGACGCGTCGCGCTGCCACTGCCTGGCTTAGAAGCTGTGGGTATGGAAGGTTTAAAAAAACCTTCCTTCGAGAACCAAGCAGGTGCTCACAAACACCCAGTTGCTCAGTGGCGACCTTTTTTCCTTCTTGTTTGGGAAGGCTTTCCTTTAAACTCAACCAACCAAAAAAAGGATGCCCTTTTGTTCCCATGGCCACTGGGCATCTATGAACACTGAGGGCCCACTTGAACACGAGTTTGTGTTTGTTTTTGAGGGCCTTCTCAGGCTATAAAGGTGAAAAAGGACACCTTTGGTGTTTTTCAGGTTTTCCATGAGTTCAGCATCCACCAGGTGGCTACGGCAGCTTCTTCAACGCGAGCCTCAACACCGACCTGATGCAACTACGCTGGCCCGTCAGGCCAGGGGGCGGCCATGAGTGCCACCCAAAGTTTCAGCAAGAGTCCCATGCCTGAGGTGGAGGCCTTTGTTTCTGGAGGAAGCGTGCCGGCGGAGAAGGCAGGAAAGTTCTGAAGAGCCCCTCTGCTTTCTTCACTTCTTGTTTTGCTTGCGAATCAGAGCAGGTGGACGTGGAAGCTGCGGTTGTGGAAGATTGGGTGTGGAGCTGAGGCAAAGCTGAGCGTTGCCTGTCTTTCGCGGGTAAGCCAATCAAAAACAATAAACCAAAAGTGGATGTTAGGAAGGGGCAAACCCAACCGCAAGTAGATGCGGCCTTCTATTTGTTTGATGTTGGGTGGGCTCAGGTTGCCGACTTCAGCCAGCTCCCAAGCGCTGACTTAGCTGTGGAGGCAGGCGTCAACTAGTGGCATTCAGGAGAGGCCTTGTTATCTCGGGCGAGGAGGTAGTACTGCCTTGTTGCCATTGAAGAGTGGCGCAAATTATCATCTAGCTCCCCCAGTAGTGCCCTTCTTGACCCCATTTTTGGTTGGGAGGGTTCCCCTACTAAAATAGACTACAGAAAAAAACGGGTACCCTTATTCTAACCTCTCTACTGGAGGACCTAGTCATGCAACTTTTGAGTTGCTCAGTACATGCATGATTGTTAGGAGCTTCCCACCACTTCGGGCACCCCTCGTATGCATCCTTGAAACACAGCTTGGGTCACTTGCCACATGCTCGCGTGTCTTCAACCCAGAGGACTTTGATAATTAATTACGTAGCCTGTTTGGACATGTTCTGGCTACTCTGTGGGCAGGTAGGGCTGATTGACGTGCGTCTTGACTGCAATATCTTGGACCGAAGGACAGAGGATGTCTGGGATGTTGCTGGCCGTCATGCCAAGCACAAAATTAGTCCCGACTTAAATTGGTTTTTAAGTCACCTGTCGCTTCACATCTTGAGGCCATACTGCGATCGAGAAGGTGCAGCACGCGAGAATGCAAAGCAAGCACTGGATGGGCGTACCTTTTGTCGGGTCTCATGTTTTGCGGCCTTGCAGCTCTTCATGAAGCGCATGCCTTCGCAGCCATTTGCCATTGCTTATGGCAGAGACGCAAAGCTATTCAAAGTGACAACATGTGAGCAAAAGCGAGCGTGCGCTTCAGCCCTTCCCAGCGAAACAGGGCAAAAGCTGGTGGACGCCAAAAAATGGCTTCGGCAGTGGGTTTCCCGCACCGCCCTTGACCTTCCAACGCACCCAATGCACTTCCAACACCCATGGCATGGCTCGCCCCTGCGGTGCCCATGTGCCGCAGACGCCAGAGCTTGATACGGAGGGCGCCCTGGCGAGGCCCGGTGATCGGGGTCAAACAGAACCTTGCGATCGGAGCGAGAGATGCAGGGAATGAGACTTGGAGCCGCGAAAACCAACATCCAACTAATGTTTTCCTTGAAGGGGGCCCCTTCCGGTTCATTCCTTGGTCATTCACTTGGATTTGAACGCCTGCTCTTTGGTGTGGGTGAACGCGAAGCCCAGGTCCATGGGACCTCCTAAAAAACGCAAACCCCGGATTCGGCCCGCTCCAAAGCCCCCAAGAAGGCCTTCCGAGGGGATTTGGATTTGAACGCCTGCTATCAAAGGGTGGGAGTACATACCCCTTGTTCATACCCCTTTGCTTCCCTGGTTTCCAAGCCACTTTATAAGGGCTATATACCCGTGTTGGGGAGAGGGCTATGAACATCCGCAGGCCTTTTGGATCCTTCTGGGTTCATTTGCCCAAGAAATATGTAAAAGGGGTAATGTTAGACCTCCTTTAGTAATAGTACCCTCTAGTGTAGGGGTCCAGCTGACTGATTCCACTGTTCAGGGGGGGGTCCGTGTAAAGAGGCTCCCACATTATGTACATGTTGGATCCTTTTGGGTTCATTTGCCCAAGGGGCATGTAGAAGGGGCATGTACATCCGCCTTGCCAGGGCCTGTCACCGTCGAGGGCTCCCGGCGCCGGAGCAATCTGCCGGCGGCTGCCTGCACTTGCGGGAGGCGGCATGCGCCATGGCGAGAGCCAGGATGTGCCACCAGGCTCACTTCCAAGGAGGTTTTACTGTACTGCTATTGGATCTTTAGACACTAACTTTTGGGATTCCCCTCATGTTTCCATTTTTTTAACCAGCAAAAGTTAAACTTTGTTTGCTGGGGGGTCTATTTCCGGGGAGTTTGTGGTTCAAGCCCCCCCAGTAGTGCCCTTTTACCGTTTCTTTTTTGGGAGAGGGTTCCCTACTAACATAGACTACAGAGAAAAGGGTACCCTTCTTCTAATCTCTCTCCTGGAGGACCTAGGGTTGAGTTCGGCGGTGCATTTTGCTTGGATGTTAGGACTTTAACGTTTTGCCAACAAATGGGTTTTCCATTAAACCACTAAAAGTTAAACTTTTAGCAGGGGAGCAGAATGCAACCGAGAGTTTATGGTTGCTTTCGTCACCTTTTTGGGTTGATCAAGAGGCCCTTAACGTGAAATTACCCGGGGAACCACCAAAAAATGCAATTTTGCCGCTGACCTGGAAGAGTTACCCAGGTCATTCGGGGCCAGGAACTTGATCAACCCCCATATTTTGGTCACTTTGTGGGCTTAATGTCCATTTTAGGGGTAAATAACAAGTTTGGATCACTTCTTTTTCCCATCAACACGGGAGTGGGGGACTCCTCATGGGTATTTGGCTGGAGTCTCTCAAGACACCAAACAAAAGGAAGCCCTGAAGACAAGCCCAAGGCGGGTGTTCGCTCGCAGGACAAGCATGGCCCTCATAGAATGCGGTACTTGCACCCAAAAAATGGACAAACCCACATTTGCTGGGCGCGAAGACGATTGCTGCTAGACTTCACTCAGCTTGAACAGCGCTACAAGGTCAGTACTGGCAGGGGATGAGCCGTTTACAGCGTTCCATGTAATTACCCTGTTGCTTTCTATTGGCTTCACTTCCGGTGCGAGACGATACGGAAAGGCACCAAAGATGACTTCAGCTTGTTCCACACGCTGTCGAAGGAGATTGAGGCTGGATTCCTGCAGCCGAATTGAGAGGGGCCACGTTTCAGTCCACTGCTGGGCCCAGCCATCCTTCTCCAGTGCTCGGCCCAACGGTCCCGGCACTTTCGCGGTGGAACACGCTCGGCCAATGCAAGCTGAGAAGCTGAGAGGATTCCGGATCCATCACAAGCCCAGATTGCCTGTTGCACCACCCATTTTAGTCTACTAGGGATTGGGATGTTCACTTGGGGTGGGGGATTTTGACCCCCATTTTGGTGGTTTTCGGTGCACCACCCATTTTAGTCTAGTAGGGATTGGGATGTTCACTGGGGGGGATTTTGACCCGTGGCCACGTAAATCAATGGTAGTGCTGAGCTGTGTAAACTCGCGTTCCGGACGAGGTGGCCGCCTACCGGGAAAGAGGAGATGCACTGGGCCTGCACAGGACACCAAACAAATCAGACTGGAGATGAGCAGCAAGCATTGGCCACTTCCATTTGCTTAAGACTATCCCCTGTTGGTTGTAAAGGGACCTATCACTACTGGAAAGAGTTTTATCTTTTCCAGGGGTCAGAAAACCAAATGGAAGGCCAGCGTTTCAATGAAGTGAGGAGCCGGAAGCACCTGCAGATCTGGGGGGATGCTATGCCGCTTGGTTCTCATGTATCAGCTTGCCGCTTGCAAAAGCTCATACGCACCCCAAGCGGGATGTGCCAAAATTGGGGGGACGCCCGAAATGGCTGTGGTTCAAAATTAAACAGGGGGGGTTAAGCAGGTTTTGGTCCATGTTTCCACTTACCAGGGTCCCATTTTGGTGCCGGTTTTTTGAGCCACACCCGAAACATCTTTGGGCCTTGGGTTTTGGGCTTAGGCCTTGCCGACCCTCCGGGCCCGGCGGTTTCGCTTCGGTGTTGCCGAAGCTGAGGTCCGGCTCCCGGCCCTTCGCTTCCTTGACGCTCGGAAATACATTCTGCAACCATTTGAAACATGTGGCTTTTTCAACGCCAACATAAAGGGTGAAACCACCATGAAAACAAGGCAATGTTCAGGTGTATAATGTAAGGATCCCTGTTGCAGGAAGGCGATCATCTCGCGGCTTAGCGCGTGTGGCTCCTCCAGAAACTCCGTCCTATCACGCCTCTGCCACAGAAACTCCATGTCGGCAAGGCAATATATATATATATATTTATAGTGACCCGTGACCCATTTGGAGTTGGGAAATGTGGGTAAATAAGCCCATGCAGTGTGTGGCTCTTGACATGCTTCGGGAGCTGAGGATTACCAGGGCCTTGGGAATGTTTGACCTCACCTTGGTGGATTGCTGGGCCAACCTCTATCGCTCAGAGGAGGATTACAAGTCCTGGCACCATGACAACTACCAAGACTGGATGCCCAGGCCGCGCTGAGCGCCCCAAAACCGCCCAAAACCGCCACCTGTAGTGGGACTTGGTGTAGGGTGAGGCCTAAAACAGAAGCCTTTACTATCTCGGTACCAGAACTCAACAGCCTTTCCCTAAAGTTCCAAACACAGACTATTTTACATATGTTCCGTGAAAGGCGGTTTCTTGCCCGGCGCATTTTTGTCCAGGGCTTTGATACGTTTTGATTTCCGCCGCCTTCCGATCGATTTCGGGAGGCCCACGGCGACCATCGGCATCAGCCTCGGCTCAGGGAGGGCCTTGGCGTTCCAGAACGCGCAGACCAAGCGCCCCTTTGCCGCAAGCGGCAAAGCAATACGCGGGATCCAGTCAAGACCTCGTGTGATGCGTGGCGTCGTTTTTTGAGATTGCCCGGTGACTAGGGGTAGTTTCAAGAGAGAAGCACAAAGGGAAGCCACAATTTTTGTTGCGGGTTCCTGTATTTTGAGACATGCCCATTGCAGCCGCTTTGGCTGAAGCCTGTCCTTAGCTGAGATATCCTTGGGCTGAGGCGAGCACCAAGTGTGGCAGGAGAACGGTGATATCTTCGCCTTCGATGAGACCCCGGGCCGCAAAAAAAAGCCACCCGTGAGAGAAAAACTCAGCCCAGACACACACACACACACACACACACACACACACACACACACACACACACACACACACACACACACACACACACCCACACACACCCACACACACACACACACACACACACACACACACACACACACACACAACACACAACACACAACACACAACACACAACACACAACACACAACACACAACACACAACACACACAACACACAACACACAACACACAACACACAACACACAACACACAACACACAACACACAACACACAACACACAACACACAACACAACACACAACACACAACACACAACACACAACACACAACACACAACACACAACACACACACACACAACACACAACACACACACACACACACACACACACACACACACACACACACACACACACACACACAACACACAACACACAACACACAACACACAACACACAACACACAACACACAACACACACACACACACACACACACACACAACACACAACACACAACACACAACACACACACACACACACACACACACCACACACCACACAACACACACACACACACACAACACACAACACACAACACACAACACACAACACACAACACACAACACACAACACACAACACACAACACACAACACACAACACACAACACACAACACACAACACACAACACACAACACACAACACACAACACACAACACACAACACACAACACACAACACACAACACACAACACACAACACACAACACACACACCTAGAGCGAGGGCGGCTTTTGCTTTTTGCCAGATTTGTTTGAGGCCGTTCAACAACTTCTACAAGCATTCCGTGCCAGCCGGATCTGGAGCAGGAAAGCGGATCTCCGTGATTCTCTTCGTCAACGAGTCACTCGGCGTGGCGTGGCTGCCTGTACCTATTCGCAGATGCCAGAAGGGA